TCCATCAGTGCTGCGTATGTGAACCCGAACACGAGCACCGAGCTAAAACAGAAGCACAGCAGTCAAGGATGTCGATGCCATTGTTTATCAAAGCAGGGCTTTGAAATGAGTAAGCGAACCCATTGCGTACATGATGTTGTGCGTACGTGCCATACGTCGCATGCCGTACGTCGGGAGTAACAGTTCGAGGACCGCCCAGGAATCTTTACCATATTTTGCCACAGAGAATATAGACCGAAAACACTTTTAATTAGTTTATCATAGAGCTTTTCAAATTGAAAAGTGCATATAATAATTTTTGTCATAACATATACTATTATGTTCCAGGGTCCGTTCTTAAGTTGGTTGCTGCTGTCATATAAATTCATACGTAAACTAGTTTTACCCATCGCTTATTATCTTATTAGACTGCATTTCTAAATATTCTATTGTGTGCAATGTTATTATCGATTTTATTACCCAATGTTCTTGTGTCCATATTTTAAGTAGTATTGATTAGCTAGCACGATTTCCCAGCGCAGCGGGTACCAGCAGCTAGTAATATAAAATAAATTAACATAATTATATATATATATTATATATAATATAATATAATATAATATAATTATAATATAATCATAATATAATTATATATAATATATATAATATAATATAATATAATATAATATAATAATAAATTATTATCTATTAATACACCGTGAACTCGCTAGGTGGCGGTAGTAGCCTAAACCCGCTTGAACATGTCAACTTAAAATGCTAAGAATAAATTGTAACATTATTATTTAATATCTCTTGCTTATTATGAGCTATAATACTTATAGAAATATCTTAGTTATCATAATGTAAAAAATGCTCCAAAGGTGGTTGAACTAGTGCCGTTTTGCTCAAGTTGTTAATAGATGGCGCTAAAGTAGATCTTACTGTAGACTGGAACCCGGTCGACAGTTCCACACGCTACACTAACGTCAGTGTAGCGAAGGATATATGCCGGAGTGAAGGTGGCAAACGGGTACCAGTCTAATCCCACCGCTGCTCCAACGCGTACAACATGGCGGCCCATAGCTCCAAGAAACGGTCTTGCTAGGGTTAGACAATCCGTCGCACAGCATGGTGCCATTGGTGGGGCTAGGCGGCCCACATCTATCATGTATCGTTAGGTTGACTTTGAATAGTTAATACGCAACTTCTTCGCAATATAACTGCATAAGCTGCAATCTTGCAGAGTGTCTGAGTGGTTTTCTCGAAATCGCCATCCTATTCCTAATTCACGTCTCACTGTTTTCCAGTGCTGTGTGGTATTTGTGTGCGTCGTGTAGTGGGATGGTCGTAACGAGCCTTCCGTCATCCTATACCGGTATACGCACGAACACAGGCGCGACTTGGCAACCGCAATTCTCGTAAATAGTTGTTGCCAACAACATGTTCTGCTTGAAACAGACTCCGCTCTGGCGTGCATGCGTCAGAGTTCCCTTGTGTCGCACGCTCGGTGGCGTGAACATGTCCTTAACGCGTAAATATCACAGCCTGGCCGTCTGCTTCCCCGATCGTACACAGCAGCATGACTGCGTCGGTGCTCAGTGGTCAAGGATCGCTTGCCCCGGTTCGCACTGCCACCGGAGCGGCGTTGACCGACATAGGCGGGCGACGCCGATGCTAGTGCAGGTCTCACAGAACTCTACAAGTAACGCGAGAAAGGTGCGATTGTCGGCGCAGGCGATGGTGGATGCTGCTCCGTCGGCGTGGCAACCATACCTGCGCTTGATACGATTGCATTCGCCGACAGGTGAGAGATTAGGCCGATGAAAGTTGATGTCATGGTTCTCGTCAGCGCCCGCATCAAATTTTACTCCCGCACCAAAAAAGTTCAACACTCATCGCTGACGAAATTCCCGCATCAAAAAGTCCCCATATGAAATTCCCGCCTCAAAAAATCAACAATCTACAGTCAGCACTACATGTATGGAAGACAAACAGTAAAAATTTGAATAAAAACTGTCAACAAAGAAGTTATGACATTTTTCAATCTTATTTTGCATATGTACAAGACCCGATACCCTCACTAAGTTCTATTGGTTTGTATATGAAAGATGAATGTTGATCTAAATCCCTCATCAAAATCTCAACAATGCCTGACGAGAACCATGAAATCAACTTTCATCGGCCTTAGCGGTGTGCAGCGTGGCTTTTGTTGGCATCATTGGAGCCATATTACTCTATTGTTCCTAATTCCAGTGTTGATCTACTTGTACATTCCAGGGGCGGATCCAGGATTTTTGAAAGCGGGGTGTCCAGGAAGAAATAAAGGGCACTTTTTCCTGCTTAATTTTTCTGGTGTTTCAAAAGCTGCCAAAGGCCACTTAGGGGGGTATATATATATATTCGTTACAAAAACCTAGAAATTGGCAAAGGGGGGTCCGCGGGGCATCCGGGGGACCGGATCCTCAGAATGCACCAATTTTTTTTTTCTTGGGGGAGGTCCCCCAACCCCCCCTAAGTGGCCTTTGGCAGCTTTTGAAACACCAGAAAAATTAAGCAGGAAAAAGCTCTTTATATATATAAGTAAATCTTTATCAGAAAAACTAGCCCTAAAAAAAATTGTGATGAAATTTTTTAGTGCACTTTGAAATTAAAGGACCCTCTAAAAAAAATCCGGACCCCTGGACACCCCCCTAGGTCTGCCCTACATTCATAAAAATGCCGTCTCACCCTCTATATAATTATCTTTCCCTATCATCATGCTCGAATTTGTTTCATTATACTTGTTATTCCATATTTTTTACAAGTTGCTACCAAATTTAAAAGATGCCAGGTATGTTGCCACGTGACGATCGTTTGCTCACGCTTCATAAACAGTTCCAACTCACTGTGTGAGGCGCAGGTTTTCCTGTTCATGCGACTCGTATCCTTACTTATAATAAAATAAAGATACATAATTATATGTAAGAATAAAAGTTATAATGTCCTTTAATATATATAATTATATATATCTTTATTTTCATCTTATCCTTACTTGTATCGTTCCGGCGACTTTAATCGTGACTCCGTGCAGGTACGTGGCTGCTGTACTGGCCGTGTGCGTGGAGCATTGCCCTGGCTGCGGCTCCGGGACAGTTGCCCGATCTCTACCTCCTCGTCCTGTTCGGAGCCGGATCTCTCATCATGCGCGGGGCCGGCTGCATCGTGAACGATATGTGGGACCAGGACATTGACCGGAAGGTATATAGTGTAGGGGGAACGCCTTCGTCAGGTCGTCGCTGTGCGACCGCACGTGTCTTTGCGATTTTCGTCAATGTTGTGAATTGTCAATCCTTGTGACAGCTGAGACGACAGCCTGTAAAGTGTAATCGCGAAGAAAATAAATATTGATCGTGCGTTCGCTGAACTGTAAGGGCGATGTGCATTTCGTACTCGAGTTTTCTCTGGTGTGTTGTATCCTACTCGCATGTCTTGTACCGCTTGCGTTCTACACCCAGTTTCACTCTTGGCTTTTTTTAGGTTGCACGCACAAAGGGGCGCCCTCTGGCGTCAGGAGAGCTGACGAACGTACAGGCACTCGCATTCCTTGGTCTGAACCTGACAGCTGCTCTAGCCATTCTTCTACAGCTTAACAACTATAGGTATAACATAGACTGTTGACTACTGACTACCATCAAATAGTCGTTAGTAAAAATATTAAAGGTATCAAGTGTAGGGTCATTGTGTAAGGTATGCCTCTGCCATATTTTCAAAAGCATTGCCACATTCACAGTACCATCATGTTATCCCTGCTCAGTGAGAAATAGTGGAACGTAGAACTCTGCGCCCCCCACCACCTTGCAAACATATAAAACAATATAATGTTCTTTTAATTTTGGGTTTCATGTCCATTTCTGGAATTTAACGTCTAGGCCAGAGTATTATACTATAAGAAAGAATAATATGCTTGCATATAGTTACCTGAGTTACTGCTAGGTGGCCAGCCAAATTATATGTTGTCAGCCAGGAATTCCTCTAAGCACGTCGGACAATCATTAGCAATTAATTCGTGATTGCTAATTACAGTTAATTATTTGTGGCACAAGCAGCTGCAATACACAGATAAAAATATCAGTTCATAGACATACATTTTAAAAGCGGTGAAAACAGCATGACTGTGTTGGGACTGTCATATGTATACAGAGCTAGAAAAGAAGGCATGTCGATTAAGCAATTAAGGGATGTTGAAGAATTTATGGGATATCACACATTTTTAGATACAAATTCGCAGGTATATATCGAACCCGACATGCGTTAAAAGGCTAGAGAGAAGCCCTGCCTTACATGATTGATTGTAGCACAAGTTCACTTCTCTCTTTCTTGTTGTCTTTATTTTACAGCATCGTGCTAGGAGCTAGTTCTCTGCTTCTGGTTGCCACCTACCCAGTTATGAAGAGGCTTACCTACTGGCCTCAGGCATTCTTAGGTGAATACACACTAGTTGTCGTACCAGCACATGCATTATATCAGCACAGCCGAGACCGTGCCGAATGCTACAAATGGTAGAGTGCAGTAAATGTGAAAGCAAAAGCACTGAGTGTTGGACCATACAATAGAACTTGAATGTTTTGAAGGTCCCTGAAGGGAAAAATAAAAATTCCATTTATAGGTGACTATTCTCTAGAGCTGACCACAGGTCTGACTCTAGTATGTTGTGTAATATAGTACAGACCATTGGTCAAAGCATCATATTGTGCTCAGATGTTGTATAGTATAGCCTGTGAGGCAAAACTTTGCACTCGTGGTCATGAAGAAACTTGGTTGCGCCTAATAGCAATGTTGCCCGATAATAGAGGTAATCGTGTCACGAGGGTCACCGAAGGTCAAAGTTATAGCACGCTGTGTGTCGTTCCCTGCACCATTATTACGTGTTGCGGCAAGTGGGGGGCGATCTCTGTTATCGTACCGGTAACAGCCCATCTCGCAGGGTCGCTGCATGGCCGCCATCACTGGTGAAACACTGCGCTTCCCAGGCAACGTAGTACATGCAGCGTTCGTCGGCCATGCTGCTGGCAGGGGGCAGCAGCGTATATGTACATATATGTGTGGCAGTGAATGGCAGGCAGGTGGCGCCACGTCAAGCCTTCGTCTGCGCGAAAGAGTGGTCGCTCTTGCGGCCTGCAGGTGGCGCTGGCAGCACGATGATGTCCGCTCGACCGCGCGCACAGGTAGCAGCGCGGTAATGTTCTCAGCCCGGTTTTTGCGCTCTCCTGCAGGTCTCTCCCTGAACTGGGGCGTTCTTATCAGCTGGGCAGCTGTGCACGGCTCGCTAAATACGGTGACGCCTACCCTCATCTACTTGTCGTGCATTTCTTGGACAATTATATACGACACTATATATTCGCATCAGGTGAGGCATCGGTGTGTTTTGGAGACATTGCTAATACAGGTCCGGGGTCCAGTGCATCAGCGGTAGAATGTATGTTTCCGATCCTGGTCAGTGGTGTTAGTCTACGTGTATAGATGGCTAGAGTCGTCTCTTTGATGATACTATTTCACTTTCTATTTTTGGGTACTATTCTGATTTGTATCTCTTTTGTCTTCGTAGTGTTTTTGTACAGTTCTCTATCATATGAATGATTTTCCTACTTTCTCGAATATTATATGATGGAATTAGTTAGTCGATTAATTTATTAGTTATTCCTTATTTCAAGTAATTACTTTTAGTTTTTCACATTTACGGCCTAACTTGAGAATTATCTATATATCAACTCTATCTAATACTTCAACAATAACGATACTGGTATTGAATACTGTTTCGAATTATGCAAAGACCCATATTTGGTTCTTTACTAAATTTCAGCTAATCATGTTCTTGTGTTTTTTTCTGCATGTTTGTGCAGTAGTTTCTTTAAAAGCAAATAGTTTATTGTACCTAATAAGTAGTGGGATATTCATTATAACCGGCTTATAGAATATTAAAACAAAGGTTAACGTATAAAGGAATACAACCATCATTTTGGTCGTGTTCGAGGCTCCCTGAATGTTAGAGTAGCGCGTCCATTCTAGTGGAGGATGTTTGTATGAGACAAATTCTAAAATCTTCTACAAACCAAATAGTAAATGTGAAAGTGTAGTTTGTCCATGAATGTTAGAGAATCCTGCTAGCAATAGTTCAGTATTTTTTGTATAGTACTAGTAGACAGGGAATTTATATATTCAAGTAAAGGTTCAAATGATGTAAAATTCTGCATTACATTACGTCTAATCTGGCATTATTCTTTCCAATGAATTAAAACTACAAAATTCCATCAACACATGAACATTACTTGACTGTAAATAGTCTTAAAAACGCAGCTTTTGCTGTACTCTTTCTCGTAATCTTTTTATTTTTATTCGTCCTGTTTTTGTCCTAGCCTTTCACACATGTCTATTAGAAAGATTTCTACATTCCACTTGCAATAATCAGCCAATGTCCAAGCTTGCACTAGCTTCCTTTGCTTCTCTGCTTGCCGGTTGTCCGTAGAATCTTGTATCTGGTGGGGTGAACTGTGGCTGTCATGGGGGGCTGGGCAAGGGAACCCAGAGGGTAAGGTCTTTAAAAGGTGACCAAGACAGCATCAGCTGAGGGCAAAGGTGATCATAGAGGGAGGCAGTGTATGTGATTCAGGACACGAGGGACTAGCTGATTGCACCTCCTATTGCAATCTGGTCGAGGATATTACCGTGATATGTCATTGCGAGTCGTTCTGCCGTTGTTGGTAGCGCTTCTGCTACTGCAGCTGTTGCTGTTGCTGCTGGCACTGCTGCTGTTGCTGCTGGTGCCCTGTTTGTGGGCTAAAAGCCAGCACGTGTGAGAACGACAAGTTCTCGCCTTCCTCCTGATAAGCACTCGTGCGACGTACGCGAAACCTCGTCGTGGAACACAGCGACCTATAACTTTGACCTTCGGCTTCATCTTCAGTCGACTATATGCCCTTGACGTCTGCGGTGTGTGTCGTCACGTTGTTACGCGGCCGGTGTAAGACGTAAGCACGGCACACTGAGCGGCAGCTGTGCGACTAGACGCGTGTGGTGTGATCGCCGTGGCGGCGGGTGGCGATGCGCTACGAACACGTGCTGTAGACGCACGGCGAGCAGCAGCCTCCAGGGGGAGCCGGCGTACACGCACGTGCGCGCGCATCGTTCACACGCGGTACGCTGGTCCTCCTGAGACAAATGTTCGCTGGCGTACACCGTTCTGGTCGCGAATGCACGCTGCTGCCACTGTTCGCTTGTTCTCGGCCAGGGCTGACATTTAACTTCGGTTCGCTGCTGGGCTGGGTAGCTGTGACGGGGTGTCCAAGCTTCGGCGTTGTCCTGCCCCTCTACGCTGGCTGCTTTGCGTGGACAATGATCTATGACACAATCTACGCCCACCAGGTACAGCCTATCGTTAGAAGCTCGTTCGAAATCTTCCTGCTTTCGCATACGTAACTTCTGCACCATCACCTCGTCCTCATCATCTGCATCTGCCTCCTCCTTAACCTCTGCATCCTCCCAATTATTTTCCTTCATGCTCAACGTCCTCTGCCTCTCCAACCTCTGCTGCTGCATCCTCCCAGTTCTTTTCCTTCATCCTCCATCTTCATATAATTACATTTAGTCGTTTTCTTTACCAGCACATCTATCTCCTTTCCCGCCTATCTGCTACCACCCATCCTACCAGCATGATCCTTACCCTCCTCTGCAAAAGTCTATTCTTTTAAGTTGAATTTGTTTTTTTTCCCCGGCATAGCCGTAGTTGAGTTTATTGTCGGTAGCACTCACGATGCTGATAGCTGTTGTCTTGATCAGCACACGTTCCTAGTTTACACACACATCACTGAAACGTATCAGCAGTCGTCTAAGTCTGAGCACAGGGGGGGGGGGCACTCACCCCACATTATGGTAGGTATGTGCCACTGAGAAGTCAAAAATCGGGGGCTCTGGAACTAACTCAGACCTGAAAATGTGGGTCTCTGGAACTTATGTCTGTTGAATGTGGGATGCTCTGGAACTGGCTATTTTCGAAAATGGGGGTCTCCGGAACTAGGATTTCGTTGAAATGCAATGCTGTGGAACTGGACATGTTTAAAAGAGGGGGTCTCCGGAACTGTGGGGAAACTGTGATTTGCTTTAAAATCTATGCTGTAGCACTTGAACCAATAATTGTTGTATTATGTACAGGAGAGAAAAACATGACCCAGACAGAAATGAACGCACGCACACGCACGCACGCACGCACGCACGCACACACACACACACACAGACGCACGCACACTAACAGGGACACAACTAGGGTCTCCGGAACGGGGAAAATGTAAGATCTGCATGGTAACTAAACTTGTGATGCTTTGGAACGAGATATTCTTAAAAATGCGATGCATTGGAATGGAAGTTTAGGGTTGAAAATGGGTGTCTCTCCCGCGGCACATACCTACCATGCAATATATATGGAGTGCCCCCCCCCCAGGAGCACAGCTTCTAATGGTAACCGATCATATACTAATGAGTCACTTGTCTCTAGTGTGGTTGCCGGTAGCAACTGGTGTCATTATCGATAGCAATACGGTGGTGATGCTGCAATCTCTCATAGAGGCAGTATAAATTTTATAGTAATCGGTGTGCGGTATAAAATCATTTTTAATGTGTAGTATATTGTTGCTGACCTACCGTGTGCTAACTACTCTTGTCTCTGACCTACCATGTGATCGTGTACTAATGAGTCGGGAGTGTATAATATAGATAGTGTATAATATAGATCTATATTATACCTCTGAACCGAGTCCTCACTCGGGCCATCCTGTCGTCCCTGGTGGCCGCAGCGCTGACCTAACCGCGCGCGTTCCTCGTATTGGCCAGCAGCTGACCTACCGCGCGCGGTTCCCGCGCGTATGGCCGCACGCTGACGCTACCGGCGCGCCGTTCCCATCGTATGGCCGCACGCTGACCTACCGCGCGCGTTTCCCTCGTATGGCGCACGCTGACCTACCGCGCGCGTCCCTCGTAATGGGCGCGCAACGCTGACCTACCCCGGCGCGTTCCCGGCGTAAATGGCGCGCACGCTGAACCTATCCCGCGCGCGTTCCCTCGTATGTCCGCACGCTCGCACCTATCCATCCGCGCGCGGTTCCCCGCGTGGTGGCGCACGCTGACCGCTCACCGTGCGCGGTTCCCGCCGTTGGCCAGCAACGCTGTATACCTTGCCGCGCGCGTTCCCTCGTATGGCCCGCACGCAATGACCTCGGAGCCCCATGCGGCGCGTTCCACTCGTATCGAGTGCACGCTGACTAACCATTCCATATATTTCCCGCGCGGCGTTCCCTCGTTATGGCCGCACGCTGACACCTATACCGCGCGCGTTCCTCGTAATGGCCGCACGCTGACGCTACCGCGCTCGTCCCTCGTATGGCCGCAACGCTGACCCTACCCGCCATGTGCTTCCCGCGTATGGCCGCACGCCTACCTGCCGGCGCGCGTTCCCTGCGTATGGCCGCACGCGACCTACCGCGGCGTTCCGGCGTGTGGCCAGTCACGCTGAACGCTAAACCCCGCAGCTGGAGGTTCCGCTTTTGTGTGGCCGCACGCTGACGCATACCGGCACGCGTTCGCCCATTCATAGCGTGTGCCGCACGCTGACCTACCCAGTGCGCAGGCGTTCCTCGTATGGCCGCCACCTGACCTTACCGCGCGCGTTCCCGCGTGTGGCCGCCACCTGACCTACCATCCGCGCCGGTCCCTCGTATGGGCCGCGAACGCTGACCGCCTAACCATCCGCCGCGCCGTGGTTCCCCGTGTGGCCCGCCACGCTGACCTACATCCCATGCGCGCCGTTCCCGGCGTGGGTCCGGCAACGCTGACCTACCGCCGCGTTCCCTCGTATGGCCGCATCGCTGACCTATCCGCGCGCGTTCCCTGCGTGTGGCCGCACGCTGACTAACGCTTCGCGCGTTCCCTCGCTATAGGCCGCACGCGTGACCTATCCCCAGCGTGCGCGTCGCAGCGTATGGCGCCACATCGCGACCCACTACCCCATGCCGCGCGCATTCCACGCGTGTGGCCGACACGCGTGACTACCGCCGCGCAAATGTTATCCCCGCGTATGGCCCCAATCACGCTGACCCCATCTACGGCGCGCGGTTTCCCTCGTATGGCGCACAATGACCTAGCCGCGCCTCGTTCCCCCATTCGTATGGCCGCACGCTGAACCTACCCCACGCGTTCCGCGTGTGGCCGACGCTGACCTAACCGCGCGCGTTCCCTCGTATGGCCGCAAGCTGACCTACCCAGCGCGCGCTTCCCTGGCGTATGGCCGCACGGCTGAGCCCATCCATACTACCCGCGCGCGGTTCCCGCAGTCATGGCCGCACCTGATCTACCCGAGCCACGCGTTCCCGACCATGCGTGCTGCCACCTGCACGCTGCACCCATACCATGCCATGCCGCGCGGGTCTCCCTCGTATGGCCCAACCGCTGAACCTAACGTCCGCGTGCGTCCCGGCGTATGGCCGCACGCTGACCCTAACCAGCACGCGGTTCCCCCGCGAGTTAATGGCCCGCATGCTGACGTACCGCCGGGGGGGCGTTCCCCGTCGTGGCACCTGCACGCTGACTACCGCGCGCGTTCCCGCGTGTTGGCCGCACGCTGACCCTAACCGCGCGCGTTCCCCGCGTGTGGCGCACGCTGACCTACCACCGCGCGTTCACCCCGCGACGTGTGGCCGCACGCTGACCTACCCGCGCGCGTTCCCGTGTGGCCGCACGCCTGACCTACCGGGGCCACGCGTTCCGCTGCGTATGGCCCACCCTGGCACGCCTGACCTACCATCCGCCATCCACCTGCCGCGTTTCCCTCGTAATGGCCGCACGGCTGACCCCCGAGCGCTTCCTCGTATGGCCGAGCTGACCTAACGCCGCGCGGCCCGTCATCTCGTATGCCGGCACGCTGACCTAACGGCCCGCGGTTCCCTCGATGCCGCACGGCTGACTACCGCCGCGTTCCCTCTATTCGCCACTGCAACGCTGACCTAGCCAGCTCCATCCATCCATCGCGTCGCGGCTTCCCTCCGGTATGCGAGTCTCTTCACCCTGAATGCCTCCAATGCCCCATGCGCGCGTTCCCTCGTAGGCGCCACGCTGACCACCGCGCCCGCCGGTTCCCTCGTATGGCCCGCACGCTGACCTACGCGCGCGGGGTTCCGCGTGTGGCCGCACGCTGCGACACGTCCTACCCCGAGCTCGTTCCCGGCGTGTGCCCGCACGCTGACCTACCGCACGCGTTCGGCCGCGTGTGGCCGCACGCTGACGGCTAGAGCCCGCGCGCGTTCTCGTTGGCCGCACGCTGCACCACTAACCGCGCTGTCTCCCGGGGGCGTGTGGCCGACGCTGACCTACGCGCGCGTTCCAGACCACTGCGTATGGCCGCACGCTGACCTACCGCCAGCGTCGGTCCCCTCAGTATGGCCGCACACTGACCTACCGCGCTCGTTCCGCCATCTGTTTGGTCCGCGACGCTGACCTACCCACGCGTATCCCCAGCGTGTGGGCCGCACGCTGACGCTACCGCGCGGCCGTTCCCTCGTATGGCCGCACGCTGACCTACCCGCGGTCTGATCGTTCCGCGTATGGCGCGCACTGCTGACCTACCCGCATGCGCGCCGTTCCCCCAGGCGTGTGGCCGCACGCTGACCTACGCCCACGCGTTCGCCGTGTGCCGGCACGCTGACCTATACACGTATGCCGCGCCGCGTTGCCCTCGTATGAGGCCGCACGCTGACCTACGGCGCGCTTCCCGGCCGTATGGCCGCACGCTGACCTAACGCACGCGTTCCGCGTATGGGACGCACGCTGACCTACGCGCGCGTTCCCTCGTATGGCGCACGCTGACGACTGCGCGCGGTTCCGCGTGCTGGCCGCACGCTGACGCTAACCGCGCGCGTTCCCGCGTGTGCCGCACGCTGACCGGTACCCGCGCCGTCCCGCGTGTGGCCCGCACGATGACCTAAGCCACGCGTTCCCTCGTAATGCCGCACAGCTGACCTACCCCTGCGTGCGTTCCCGCGTGCTGGCCGCACGCTGACCTTACCGCCGCGTTCCCCTCGTGTGGCCGCTACGCTGAACCTACGCGCGCGCGCCCGCGTGTTCTCGTTCGCAGAAGGCAAGGAGGAACGACAGTGCTCATCCGGCGGTCAAGTCTACGGGCTGGGGCTGTTGCCGACAACACGTGCATGGATCAGTGGTTGAGGCGGCTTCGGGGCGCTCATGTGATTGGCGGGCTCGGCGCGGCGGGCTACATGTGGGCGAGCAGACGTGGCCCGTTTACAGTGCTCCCTCGCCCTCACGCCGCCGCTCACGAGTAGCGAACAGGTACGCATGCTCGGTGTCGTATCGTCAACTGTGGCGTGTCATGTCATTGTGAGGGTGGGCCATGTCCGTGGCAAACACATGCTGTGTGCGTCACCGTGGCATGCGGTGTCGAGCGAGCGGTGCTGTGGTCGTCAACGTGTGGGCATGCGGGTCGAGCGAGCGTGCTGTGTCATCAACGTGCATGCTGTGTTGTAGTGAGCGTGTGCGTGTCGTCCACAAGTGGCATGCTGTATTGTAGCCGAGCGTGCGGTGTCGTCCACGTGACATGCCGTGTCGTAGTGAGCGTAGCATTCTAATATATAAACCATCTAGATCACTTATAAACTGTTCCCGTGACACTGTTTATGATATTGAAGTGTAACACAGTAGCATGTCACTGTAGTGTGTCACTGTAGGGTGTCAGCAGTAGTGTTATAATATGTTATGCCACTCCTGGTGGCAGTATATCATGTCGCTGTGCCATGTCACTGCAGGGTCTTGGTGTAGCACGTCACTGTACCATGTCACTGCTGTGTGTCACTGTAGCATATTGCTGTACCATGTCACTGTTGTGTGTCACTGTAGGCTATCAGTGTATCATGTCACTCTACCATGTCACTGTATCATGTCTTGTTGCAGGTGTGGTGGCTGGACATCAACGATGTTGACAGCTGCTGGGAAAGCTTCCGTTCCAACATACGCCTCGGCCTCATCCTCTTCGCTGGCATCGTCGCCGGCAACCTGCTGAAGCCTGAGACAGCAGACGACGAGACAGACGCGGGTTCCGAGGCACCGAGAGGCGAGACAGATACGGGTTCTGAGGCACCGAGCGATGAGAGCTGAGACACGAGCTGCGGGGCGAGACTGTGAGGGCAGGTTCTGCTGTGTGGTGGGTGGTGGTGCCATCTATTGGAGCATGTGGCAGTTGTTCTGTGTGGCGGTGCACTCGAGCCATCGCAGTAGAAGACGAATGACACGTGACTGTTGTGTAAATATTGTTCTCGGTGAATGGTGCGATGCGTGACAATGCAAGTTTCATATGCATCTCATCAGATTCCGTCTCACGTGCCTCTAGTGTGGTTGCCGGTAGCAACTGGTGTTATTATCGATAGCAATACGGTGGTGATGCTGCACTCTCGTAGAGGCAGTGTAAATTTTATAGTAATCAATGTATGATCTGTATAGTGCACTAAATTGTGTAATTTTGCTCAACCGCCAGTTCATCAATCAGTCAATAAATACTATGTGCATTTTAAAATTAAAATATGGTGATTGACATTTTTTGTGTCTAACTCCTTGCGAGTATCTGCTGCGTATCTACTACAAATCTAAGATAATCTATATTATATATTTCTGTCTCCCTCTCTCTAGCTCTCTCTGAACAAAATTTAAAAAAACACCTTAGTTTCAAAAAACAAACAAACATAGTTGGCAATGAAAAACGACCATATGTTGAAAGAAATGATAAATAATGGCATAATAACAAAATATGTCGTACTATTGATACAATAGAGCTGATATGTTTAATAGTGAGAAGTTACTATATAACTAATAAAACAATAAATATGCATTTGAATAAAATCAGTAAACGGAAGTATAATGTAACTAAATATATAAATGTAAAAACTGTTTACATTACGTTAAAAAATATGTTATCATATAGGTTATTTACTTATTTTTGTTATTATGATAACCTTTTATATTTCTGAATCAAATTAGCAAACTGTGTAATAAGTAATAACATACATCTAATGTGTCTGTCTTTTTTCGCGTCTGCGCTTTGAACCACGGGGTGGGCTACGAGTGAATCAAATATGGCGCCTTCAACTCCGTAAGTACTGGACTAATGAGCGCCCTCCGCATTCTTGCTTTGGATTACGGGAGGCTGTCGATGTCCGGCAGTTTCCCTTCATTATTATTTGTATTATTTATATTAGCTAAAAAGGTTGGTTACTCCTCGTTAGTCGTTAGTAAAATACTAGTAGTATGTCATTATGATGGCGTGTAATGTAATATTGTATGTAGGCAGGGAGAAGTAGGCCTAGATGCTAGTTGAGTGGTTCAACTTCTAGTGACAGTGTTGACTGTTGTTATTGCACAATCGTCACACACACAGGCACTTGGAACGTCTCAATAAAAAAGGTAAATAAACACGAAATGTATTCACTATCAAAGTCTTAATGTTTCTATATTCTATTTCGCCTATAATCACCTGTAAATGCCGGTCAAATGCTCATCTGCAACCCACAAGTACACTGCACGCTAGCTGCTGCACACTGACACATAAAGCAGGTGGCTCAGGGATAGAGAAGATGTCCAGTCCTATCTTATCAACTAACATCATCCTATCCAATCACCGTACTGGACATTATCTCTATCCTTGAACTAAGCAGGTTAGCTCTAGTAACGCTCATAGTCATACTCATAGGGTCTATGTCCCCCAGGATACTGCCGGAACGTACCCTGGGTACGGTCCGGTATACCGGAATGTACCTTGGTAACTATCTGATATGGTTAGGGTTAGGGAGTAGGCGTAGGCAACTCCCTAGACTCGTTAGTGGAGTAGGCGAGGTACGGTCCGGCATATTACTATTAGATAGTACCAGCAGAGCATATAAATCACGTTGATTTATATGCTCTGGTACCAGGGTACGTTCCGGCAGTACCCTGGGGGACATAGACCCTCTCAGCTCTAGTAACTATAGCCCGCGTACGCCTGCGGCAACCGTACCCGGGCTATAGATACTAGAGCTAATAGCAGGTGGGAAAGCGTGCTGCCAAAATTCGCTCGACGCTCGCTTGATTTCATACGAATACAACACAAATATTCAACCATTCTACTCCATCTTTGTTTCTATTTGAAGAACAGTGTTCACTTGTTATAAAAACATACTGTCTGTGTTTGTAACCGAGCTGTGTCACGTGAAATCACACAAAGCCTGACGAAATTCTCGCGTTCGCTCCCGTCGCGCAGTTTATGTAAATTGCTGTCGGAATCAGGAAACACCCACCGGCGCTCTTCGTGACCTCATTTTTGCGCTGCAACGCTGCAACGTTTTTGCAACGCTCTACTGGGGCTTTGACGAGGCTCATACGGGAGTTGGAAAGCAGCGTGGTAGTTTCCCAAAATGCAGTGCGCCGTCTATAGCCCTGTACTTGCAGCCATTTACATAAACTGCGCAACAGGAGCGAACGCGATTTCGCGTGACACAGCTCGGTTACGAACACAGACAGTATGTGTTTATAAAAAGTGAACACTGTTCTTCAAATAGAAACAAAGATGGAGTAGAATGGTTGAATGTTTGTGTTGTATTCGTATGAAATCAAGCGAGCGTCGAGCGAATTTTGGCAGCACGCTTTCCTACCTGCTATATATTTATGTGTCAGTGTGCAGCAGCTAGCGTGCGGCGGCCAGCGTGTGTTGCAGATGAGCATTTGGACAGCATTTATAGGAAATTGTCGGCAATAATAGGTGAAAGAGAGTAGAGAAACATTAACTTAAGACTGGTAGTAAATAGCAAATAAGCAAACACACGCAGTCATCGACAGTCGTGCTTCATTACTGCTTGAAGAGAGCCATCTAGGCATAGGCATAGCAGATGAGACAAGGTTCCTCGGATCGAAAATTATGTTGAGGTCACCATTCAAAGCTATTCACCCACTGATTTTAAATCTCATTTCCGCCTGGAGAGGGAAACATTCAATCTGTTTGTTACCGAGTCCCGCACTTCCTGCACTGCAATTCCCGCACTGATATATCGTCGCCATTTCGTTGCAATGAATTGTGGGATACTTCCCCAAGTGAGCGGCTCGGCTAGCGGGTTACTTCGGCCTCACCCGGGTAATGCAAAAATACCACGTGACTGCCAAATCGAATGTATATTTGTGGCTGGCCCGAGTAGACCCAGGTTAACTTGGGGAAGCAAATCGAACGCACAACATAATACACTGTCACTGTACAGTGGTCCCGCTTTGTCGCCGATATAGTTCAGGTCAGTGTGTTGCGATCTGTACACAGTCAATCTAATAAACTGTGCCACCTTCCCACTCCCCCTCCTATGCCCCGTATTTCCTGCAGAAGTGCAAGAGCTTTCGTGGTAGAGTAAAACATTGGTTTAGATTGGTTTTCAAAAGAATTTATAACCTCATAACCCAATAAATATCAGTCTTCAAAAGTCCACGGGACTGTAACGAAGACAGAGACAATTTGATCAAATCAACAGATCAACGCTGTGGATCGAATCTGTAATTAAATTTATAATTTTAAAATTATCAAGTCTTCTCACTAGTGCAACCAGAAATTCGGAGCCAAATCTAGAGGCAATGGCATGTGTATTTAAAAACATTCAAAGACATGTTTTACTCTGCTGTCGAGCATTAATATTGAAGAAAACTAATGCAATTAATCGATAGTTTGATGCATCGTTATACTGCTAGTGGCTAGGTATATTGTGCAGGGGGAGAAATGAACTTTTGAACACGGGGGAGTCCAACGGACTCCCTACCCTCAAAAAGAGGGAGTCCGCAGCAAAATGAAGGAGTCCGCAGTCTGAGGTTCAAGATATTAACAATAACGCATGTGCTTATTTTTAAGATTCGTGCGGTTACACGTCTGTCAAATTTTCTTTGGATATTAGCTGAAAAAATACGGTATTTCCACGAGGCCGTGCTCCGGAACGAACTAGGTAGTATGGCAGAATTTTCAGGGAGTCACACGGACGCCTGCATATGTCAAATTAGGGAGTCCGGCAGTAAATCAGGTAGTATTTGACTCCGGACTCCCGTTAATTTTGCACCCTGTTGTGGGTGGTAGGGAGCGGGTATTTAACTTTTTTGCTATTTCTGTCGTATGTGTATTACCAGAGAAATATTACCTAGTATAAACCTAATGCTACCTTAGCTTATAAGTAAGGCTAACCCTGAGTCCACCCCACACCCATTGTATTCATACTAAGTATTTAATATCTTAAAACATGGCATCATACAAATGTTGTTGTTTTTCAGGAAGGAAGCTATTGTCTGTTCACGGGCCAAAATGTTTAAGCAGAAAATTGCCATCAGTCTCCAAAGACCAAAACCTAAAGGACCGATCGAAGGACTGTTTTGCAATTATTCACACAGGTATTGAAATGGAGTAAAATATCATATATTGTAATGTAGATTGTAGAATACAATTAACCCAATGCTAATTGTTATCTAGAAGCTTGAGATTTAAAGAAGGTATGTTCTAGGTCGCACTACCCCGTAAAACCGCTCGGCTCATAAACACTTACAGTTAACACGATCTAATTTCCACCAATTGGTATGCCCTCCTGTACAATTGGTATGCCCTCCTGTACAATTGGTATGCCCTCCTGTACAATTGGTATGCCCTCCTGTACAATTGGTATGCCCTCCTGTACAAAAGCCAGTGCTGTTACACCTTCCTCGTCCTTTTTTGCTTATAATAATGACCAGGAACTTGTCTAAACATTCCATTAGATGACATCAGGTCACACCTGTTTAAAAATTGGTTAATGCACTTTCCTGTAATTAATCGGGGTTCAAATTTAATTACTACACGGCTGCAAGTGCTGTGGTTCCCCTCATTACAGGCCATGGCGCCATTAAAATGTATAATATTCATGACAATAAACCACTGTGGCTGCCATACCTTGTTTGCTTCTTATCCCTTCACATAAATTCCATGTAGCATATATGTATCCCTCTTTGTTCCACATAAAAATGTGCCGTTAAAAAGCAGGTAGGCTCAGTAACCTTTCTTTGAAGGAAATGACTGCCTATCTCCTCATCCAACTTGCCGTATAACCCAAAGTTTCTGATTATTATTATTATTATTAAATCTTTATTGCATGTAATTCAAATACAAATACATGTACTGATTAAACCCGAGGCAACAGTCGCCCTGCCTTAAAATTTCCCAAGTTCCACCCCGTGATGTCGTCTGCAACCCGTTTTCGTTTGTGGCAGGATCTGCATGCAGACGCGCATCGAGGGATCGGAGTACTGCATCAGACACATCCTGGAGGACAAGAATGCTCCCTACAAGCAGTGCAGCTACGTGTCGAGCAAACATGGCCGCCGGTGCCACGGCGCGACGCCAAAGTCCGACAAGCGCGATGGGTGGGTGTTGCATAGTTACTCAGAGCCGTCGTTAAGGTTTATAGAGTTGGAAGAATCTGATAAGGGCTACCATCAGTCGAAACTAGTCGTTCGTCGCTAAGTTTGTCGCTCGGTTGCATTCGGTGGTAAGAACGCACACAGTGCATTGCAGTGGATCTGCATCCCGTAGAGACGCTCCATGCCGTAAATAAGTAAAATAAGTAATAGCCTAAAATATTACCGTTTTTTTCATGCCAGCCCTGAATAGCAGTAGTGCTGCGAGTTGTTTTTCACCTGCAGACTTGTCTGTGTCAGATCGACTGTGTCTGTGACTGTGTCTGTGACTGTGTCTGTGACTGTGTCTGTGACTGTGTCTGTGACTGTGTCTGTGACTGTGTCTGTGATCACGTGTAATCGCATGCAGACTACAAGGGCATCTTGTCTGTGAGCAGGTACTGCGCGGAGCACGCCAAGAAGACGACCGTGATGAGACAGAGGGCGCTGCGTAAGAAGCGTCCCGCCGAAACGCCGGACAGCCTGATGGCCGAGCTCGTGCGCTACGACGCGACCCGGGGCTTAGAGGAACCGGGCACGAGCGCGGGCGAGCTGTCGGGGAAGAAACACGAGTCAGCACAGAGCGCAGCCAGCAGAATCCTGGGTACGTCACGAGTGACCTTGCCACGGTTTACGTTTAGTGATGCAGAGCTCAAATTTCCCCCATAACTCTGACGGCAATTGCTTTGGCTGCCGCCTGATTTCACCGGTGTTTTACGGAAATAAAAATTTAATGTCCATAGGGATAGACTGCCGTGGCAGCCCAAGCTGGTGTGCCTCCGTGCTCATCTTGTTAATCTCGTAGCATATCTATCGCTGTTTTTCGCACATAAATGTGCTGTTAAAAAGTGAGTGGAAATAATAACCTTTCTTTATTTTATTTGGAAAAAAGAACAAAATAAGATTTTTGAATTTGCGCAACATCCCTTTAGAAATGTAGAAATAGAACTTGCTTTATAGAACTGAATACACTACATATATAGCTTAAATGTAGGCAACACTGGCCCAAAAAAAGATCTAGGATTCGAGCGGCGGCGGCGATTGTTTTGCGTTTGCAGACTACGCGAGTGAGAGCGAGAGCGAGCAGGAGACGGTGCTCGTCGATCAAACATGGCGCGGCGATGGCGACAGTGACGCGGAGAGCATTGACTCTGAACAGGAAGACCCGCTCAAGTACGAACGCGCGACCCCCCTGCTTCATCCCGCGGTGTCCCGTTGAGAATTACTCCGATTTTTCGATATTTCGATACTTATATATTTTGATATTTCGAGGGGAAACGAAAACATGGCTCTAAACTTGTTTGCAGTAGTGTAATCGTGGGGCTTCAGACATGTAAATGAGGATTAGTCGAGAGAAACTCGGAAAATGTCCTTTATAGACAGGTGTCCGTTCTATAGAGGTGATGTCACAGTGTTGCTGGCACTCGGGGGGGGGGGGACAGCAAGTGTGTCCTTTATGGGCAAGTTCACATTCTATACAGGTGGCCACTAACACAAGCTTGAATCTAATTCGAATCCTGGTTGCCCGAGGGACACACAACAGTTCCCGCTCCTCCTTTAACTCCTTTCCTCTTCCTCTTTCTTCCTTTTCCTCCTTTAACTCTCCTTCGTCGCTCGTTAAGAGATCCACGTATACGTTTCCGTGGTAACACGTCACGTTCGTCTGCGTTCAGGCACGCTGGGGTCTACACTGCGGAGGAGGTGGCTCTGATGACGCGCGACAAGCTCATACGCCTGCAGTCGCTCTACATTGACCAGTTCAAGCGACTGCAGCACATGCTGCGGGAGAAGAGGAGGAAGTATCTACTGGATAAGAAGAATCAGGACGACTTGATCGGTACGTGTATGACGACGCGGGTCTCTTTCCGCGCATTGCTCGTGATGTGACAGTAGCAAGTGAAAATCTCTCTTTCTCTCTCTTTCCCTCCCTCGCTCTCTTCCGCTCTCTCTCTCTCTCTCTCTCTCTCTCTCTCTCTTTCTCTCGCTCTCTGTCTCTCTCTCTCCCTTTCCCTCCCTCCCCCTCGCTTTCTCTCACTCTCTCTCGCTCTGTATCCCCCATCACTCTCTCTCCCTCCCTCTCGCTCTCTCTCACTCTCCATCCCTTCCAGGCACTCGCAGGCTGTTTGTTTGTTTGTTTATTTTCTGACGTGTTTCTTTCCTGCGGCTAGGTGGTGATCACATGGTCATACCGTCCAGCCTGCAGGCGAAGCGGCAGTACGACAAGCTGCACGCCCTCAAGCGTTACCACCGACGCCACGGCAAGGAGGCCCTGCTGCACCAGCAGTCGAAGCAGCGCAGGATCGTCCACTCCGAAGGTACGCAGCCTCGTCCCCACAGCGGGCGCCATTTTTGATCGAACCGATGACATGGGATTGATGTTCGTACTGAGGTGCCATTTTTGGTCGAAAAGATTTGACCGTATCTAGGAGTGATTTTTGTATTTGTGGGTGGGACGGTTGTTTGTGATGTTTGGAATGTGGGTGTTGGACGCACGGACGGTAGTGGGTGAACGCATGTGATAATGTGACGAGAGCCAGCTTTGTTGTTTCCTCGCGCAGGCGACAGCTACCAGAAGCCGGCCGTGATCAGGTGCTCATACGTCGTAGATGGCGCCACATGCAACGCGCAGGTGCTGCCACTCACCTCGTTCTGTCAGCGTCGTATCCTTGTGTGGTCAGTGTAGCAGATGCGTGAATCGCTGGGGGTTCGTGGTTTATGTTAGTCCTCGAAATGAAGTAGCATCGGTATATTAGCATAGTACAAGTATAGATAGGACAAGTAGCATAGTTTACCTTTCATGTATTTTCAAGGCGAGGTCGGACCGGTTAGTAAATTAAAGTCTGTGTGGGTGGCTATCTGACGAAGTGAAATTAGTCAATTGGGGAAATGTCAGTAGTTATGACATCACATGTTCAAAATGGTTCTGACTTTTGCTCATAAAGTGTCATGCAAATGTCATAAAACTTCAAACGTATGTTAGATGTAACTGTTTCCTAACATGTGTTCCTAATTTTACAACAGGACACTATCAGACAGACTGATAAAATGTTACACGAGTTTAAACTTTTGTAGGAAGTAGCACTATCTGCAGAAACAGTTAGTAGCAGTGTCTACCCGGCTATAAGATACCTGTAATATAAAATGTCTTGGATAGAGTATTCGTATTTGTGTGGATTCGTTGCTGCAATCCTTGACCAGATGTCGTTCAGATATCTGCCACGATGTCAATCAGCTGTTGTATGTACCCTGTAACCACGGCGATCCAGAATGCGACAAGCCCATCGTCATGGCGATGGAGGATGCGGCATGTCCGGTACATACAGTGCTGCCTCTGTTTAAAGACAGACTCCTACCAGAGGAAGCAAGTGTGAGTACATTCATGAGATACCGCAGATTTATACACTAGACATTTTTCTTATTAGTATTTCATTAACTAAAGAAATTCTCTAACGAGCTTTAATAAGCTAAGGATTTAAGGATTTCACTAACAGACCTATCTGCCAGGGATGATTAATAGGCAGTTCTAACCAACCACTGTGGCAATAGGACACTAAAAGATATTGCTTCATAACAAAGTATCGCAAACAATCTACAATTTGACGTACACGTGTGTGAAAGCTTGTATAAGCTCGACTAGCTTGTTGGACATAGTAACAGTATCAAAGGCATGCCAAGTTTTCTCGCTCAGGCACATAGGTCGTTTATAATGCTCAGCTGTGCGACGTGTGCTGCCCTCTATACTGCAAGCTCTGCTGCGTGACGGCTCGTGCTGCCCTCTATACCGCGAGCTCCGCCGTGTCGTTACGTACACACGCCGCACGCGTTTTCTTGTCTCGGCAGGATGCGGAGGCGACGCACTCTGACACGCTGATCAACGTAGACAAGTCAGACAGCGAGGAGAAGACGAAGCGAGAGCGAACGGAGACAGGTTAGTGCTGCCCCCTGGCGACAAGCGAACGCCGTCGCGATCGCGGATGCAAGATGACGGCTCCGTCACATTTATGTTTTAAAGGAAGATGTCGCGTCGAGTGTTCGTCACTGAAACTCCCAAGCTGACGATTTTAGTGAATCTGCGCTTACACGACCTCTGAGTTTTATTTATGAAGTCTAAAAATTTACATATTTCACCTTCACTTGACATGTTTGTACAATCGTTGCAGTGCGGAGATTCAGTTGGTGCCAAACACTTGCACGTGTAAAAATAAGTGTGAAAACCAATGGTCAGGCCACACTCCGTTTACATGCTGTATTGCAGCTGGAATGGGCTATGTTCTCGGTTGATTTTTGGGGGTTGACTGGTTACTGTGTAAGGCTTCGTAGGGTAGACGGCTGTTAGCGTGAAACGTGTCAGCGTACAAGTGGCCGTATAAGGGGATGAACCATAATTCTGTATTGCAGGAAGCTCCGAGGATCTGCCATTGGTGTCGCTGGCTTCGCAACAGTATCTCGAGCACAATGAGGAGCAGCGTCGGCTGTTGAACGGCAGCGCGTTCAAACAAGAGAACATGCCGCTGACGATTCTCGCGTCCGCTGGACCCAGCACCGCCATCGACACGGATCTGATACAGGTAAATGCGTCGCGATGCACAGATGCTTCACACCTCTTCCCCCCCGCTCTCTCTCTCTCTCTCTCTCTCTGTCTCTGTCTCTGTCTCTGTCTCTCTCTCTCTCTCTGTCTCTGTCTCT